ACAGTACTCTCAAGCTGCTAGCAGAAGCGATCCTGAGGCTCCAGCAGAAGGACCTGCAAACTCTTGGTGGGGTTTGAAGTTGATGGAATTGAATGATTTACATGTTTGGCCACTTGGGGCTGTTGAGCAGGATATAATACTGCAGAAGCAATTTATTCCAGAGTTCAGCCTGGAAGACATGTTTTTGGTAGAAATATAAATATGGGGTCTACTACAGAAAAAGCAGGCACAAAAAAAACCTGTTTCTTGGCTTGAGGCTTACTAACTCTTAGTAGTAGTGTGAAATTAAGCATTTTATTAATTTGATAAGAAGGGAAAATGCAACTTCATCCAGAAATAGAAATTATTTGCATGTTACCTGTGGTGGATATCTTACTAGCTGTTGTTTTATTTACAGAATGCCTGTGGTCAAATCTAGAAATAGACCATTTCAAGAATCTAGTTGTTATATTTAGGAGGGTTTCCCTGAACTCTCTGACTCAACTTTTCTGCAATCATTCTGTGGAATACCCACAAAAAATAGAGACCCTACAAATACTGCAGATTCTTTACCAGGTGAGAAGGTGCTTGGATCCTGAGATATGATGTATCAGTATGATTGGGAATATTTTAATCCTTTTTATTTGTTAAATTTTCTGGGTTTCCTTCTTACAAGGAAACATGGTTCCTTGATATTGCTTCAGGATTCTTTTTAGCTCTGCATCGCGTGGCTTTGAAATAACTGAGTTGTCATGCTACCTACATACCCCAAATTTTGCTCTTGAACTGTGCCTGGCTGATTGTCTACAGAAGTGAAGAACTGAAGCCCCAGATGGGGAGGGGACACTTGCAGGAAGGAGTGCATACCTTGATGTGTGCAGGGCTATGGTTGTGCTGTTCATCACACAGCACACCTACTCACTTGTGAGAATCCCTTGTCAGATCTCTCATCTTAGGAACTGCTCACAGCATCAAAATGACAGCCCAGCAGTTTTGCACAGCACCGCAATAGCGTATGATGCTTTTGGAGTCTGCTAGCTGAGAAATTATGTGAGCCAGTAGAATTTGAGCATGTTTAGCTTGTATGAAGAAAGGGAAGACAGAGGACAACAGATGTACTCTTCTCATAAAACATCCTTTTCCCTGCTGAGATTTTCAAAGTTTAGGAAGGAACTCACAGATAGTAAGAGTTGCTAAATTTTGTTCAGTATTCAACTCCCTTTTGGCTGAGAATGCAGATTTGGGCCTCAACGTTTAGACTCTTGCATGTATTTATCCACTGGATAAAATTCAAAAGTGCAGGAGAGTACTGCTTAGTAAGCAGCAACATCATTTACAACCTTTTATGGTCACCCATTTCCAAAATCAGATCTTTGCCAGGCAACAAATATGAAAACAAATGAGAAATTTCGGACTCTTTTGCAACATGATGGACAAAAAATATCCTTCAGGATGGAGTTCTGTTAAGGGGCCTTTGTTGTAAATGAAAATTGCTTTCCTGTAAGTTTTTACTCTTTGTGTGTGTGACTTGTCATTGTTGAGTGCTGTGCTACTTGTAGTGTTTCTTCCATTTTTGTGCTGGATCTCAGAGTTATTTCTGCTGACATCCCTGTTACTCCTTAATCCTATTCTGGTGCACAGCTCACTAGCTCTGTTGCCAGTCCCATTCATACTGTGTCTGTCAATACAGGTGAACTCCAGAGCTGGTTTCAAGCTACAAGACAACCATTTCTATATACCTGAAATGAAAGAGGTTATCCATGATTTTCATGTCATGGGCATATCAGTAAGTATAAAATCTTAGCTGCAGTACAAAATGCTTATTTCACTATTTTGTTTAATAAATCAGTATAAGCAGAAAGACTCTAGACTTCACCCCAGTAACAGTGCATTTCCCCACTTTTCCAGCTGTTCTAAATAAATCAAGCCATTTATGATCTCAATATTTTAACAGCTACAATAGTGCTTTTCCATTGATGAACCCCTAGTTTTGCGTGCCAGAGTTGTTCCCAGCATGTTCCTGCCTATAGCAGGGGGTTGGAACTAGAAAATCATAAAGATCCCTTCCAACCTAAACCATTCTATAATTTTATGATTTTATCATCTTAAGAAGATCTATTTGCTTCAAACTGGCAATGAGTACAAAAGAGAACCACCAAACATTATTACTATGCTTCTTGTATACGTCTACATGTTATGCCATTTATTTAACAGAATAATTGTGAGGGCTCTTTAAACTTTCATGGACAAACCCTATAGAACACTTCTATTTACTTGTATCTAAAACAAACCAGTGGTAATAATAAACAAAAAAATCTGTGAAATGGTTCACTTCTCGGTGACAGGAAGGCACGAAAATTAGCTACCAAATGCAACCAGTGTCACAGGAAATACTATAAGTTAAATGGGACAGTAGAAGTGTCTACTACAAGTAGACGCTAGAAGTCTATCACCTTGCACTAGATTACTCTGTATGCTGATACCTTACTGATATTATTGTGAATAATAAAACCAACAGCTTGTAACAACAACATGTAACTTGAGCATCCTGGACATTTTTTCTGTGTTTTGATTTAACTCAAGTATGGAAGAGGCCATTAAAATCACTTTCTATTTTATTCCCGAGGTACTGTAACACAAATGTCTGCACAGACAGTTCTGCAAAATTTCAGATGTTTCTCTGACAGGGTTTCCCACGCATTGAAATGTTTAGAACCTGCTTTTATAAAGTGTGCCTCTATTGGTATAGCATACAAATACACATCAAAGGCATGTTTCAGAAATGCAGGATGGCAGTTCAGTCTCTCTACATACCCTTAAATCTGATTTTGCAAGTGAAAATCAACAGACCTTTTATTTTCATCTTTGTAATTTCAGCTGACGGTGCTGATTAAATATCCCTGCATTTTTAACATGAAGCACAAGCTGGCGATTCATCTTTTAGAATGCAACAGACTGTCTTCATTTTTCAACATTGTAAGTATGGCCTTTTTCTCCTTCTCAATTTAGAACAGAGAAGCACACTTCTAACAAATAGTTATTTTATTCTTCAGCATCCAGTCTTAAACAGCTTATTTCACAAACAGTGGATTTTTCCTGTCAGAAGAGAATGCCTCCTGCATGACATCTGGAATCATTTAAGAAATGCGAACAACAGCCAATTCACACATCTCTTAAACGTAAGACATCAAACGATGTATTTTTTCTTCAGCTCTAAATCTATTACTGCAGCGTTCTGAAGTACTGTAAGAAAGTTCTGCTGGGGACGTAAGTAAATCAGGAGAGCAGTATCATACATTCATATTCCAGGTAGCTAATAAGTATTGTGGGTATAATTTAAATGCAATTGGCAGTGCTATTTACTGTGAAGTTGCTTGGAATAATGTAATAGGATTGTGCAGGAAACCAGTCAATTGGCAAATTCCAGTACTGTTACTGCTAGATTCACTTTACTAGGCTAATATGCTGTGCATGAAAAACCTGGTGGACAGATCTTTCTTGTCAGCACTAGAGGCCAGCAAGTGACATGGCCAAAAAAAGCTGGTTCTCTCATGGTGATGCTGCCTGGAGGAAAAGGAAGAATAATGCCCCCAGGAGGGAGGAAAAGCTGATTATAACGCTGCTGTTTCTCTGTGATTTTATTTGTGGTTTCCCTGTGTAAAGGTTTTGGTAGCCAGCAGGTATTGCAGTGCCAGCCCTTTCCTGCAAAAGTAATTTGTTGGCTGACATGGAATCCGGTCACCTGGTTCCCTGCCCAGAGCTGAGCTGAGCTCAGCCCAGGGACCAGGTGCCTGTGTTCTCAGTCACTGACACGAGGGCTGTTTGGTATTGCGCCTGTGGAGCGAGACATTACCCAATTCTGGTTCTTCCCAAGTGAGCCTTCTTGCCAGCAAGTTGTCAGAGCTTTTCCTTCATATACATCTAGAAGAAGATTCACAAATGGCTTCTAGAGCTACCTTTGCTTTTTCCTTTCTCACTGTGTCAGCTGAAAAAGGTGTCGTTTTTTTTAAACATAGGCAATAAGGTCTGTGCTCTGTACTATGCACTACATGAACCCCTCTCCACTGATAGCACAAAGAGCCCTGACAGATAACTGTGCTTACCTCGAGTAAGCCCTCCAGTATGTCTTTCATGAATCCCAGCATTATTTGTGCAGCAGTAGCCTGATCAGTGTAATTGCTTTGTTAATTTCTTGCCAGTAGACACTGGCTGAGACCTGCAATGTTTCCAACACAGTACTGCAGTTCTGATTCTTTTCAGCAGTTACAGGACATTGCGTCACTCCATTCTCTAGCGTTGCTGTAAATAGGAACAGGGAAAGCTGAAGTATTCAGCAGAACCTTCTGTTCCTTCTCTACTAAGAAGGAGATAATGTTAAGGAGAAAGATACTCGACACATATCTAGAGTATCCAAACAACATTCTTCCTTCAACTCAAGGCCTGTTATCAAAGATTAAGCTAATTTATTTTACATTCCTCTGACACTAAGACAAATGCATTTCAATACATCAGGCCAAGGCAAACAATATCAAAGCTTATGAACCAAAGAGAGATTCGTACCACCCCATGTTGTCACTGCTTATTATTTGATGTTATTTCAGTCAGGGTGCAGTTGTCTAGCACAGATGGTTACCCCCTAGTACATTTTCAGTAGCCACTAGAGATGCAGAACTTGAAGAGATACACTAGAAAGAAATAACGTTTGTTATTCCTCCTCCTCTTCCTTTGCATTAATTAAGTAACAGGTTTGTTGCAGAGGACTGCATAGAGTTCAGACACCACCAGGCAAATGCTGACAGTCACCAGTGCCACAACAGACGTTTCAGATCAATTGTGAGACCTGGCTAAATTAAAAAACTGCGCTGCTCTAGAGAAGGGGGTTAGCAGAGGCACTGTGCTAATTGTGCCTAAAAAGCTTAATTCCCATCCAAGTCCACAAGTGGAAGAACACATAAACCGGTATCGTGACAGGAAGCAGGAGGCTGTAGAAACACAAGCTGTTGGTGCTGGTGCAGCCCTGAGGGAAGGTTTCATCCACGCTGGCCGAGTAGAACAAGCCCGCTAGGGACAGGAGAGGAACGAGCACGGTCAGCGTGGGCAGGGAGGGGAGCAGGCCGCTCCCTGCCATCGCCGTGTCGCCTCACGGCTGCTCCGAGCCCTCTGCCGGGGGCCGCTTCCGCGTCGTCCGGGCTGCCTCCGGGATCATGTTAGGGATGCCATCGATGACGGGGTACGCGATGCCCAGCTCCTCGTTAATGAGCTCGTTAGTCGATTCTTCGTACCTGGGCAGCCGAGCAAAAAAAAGAAAAAAAAGAAAAAAAAAAAAAAAAGACAAGGGAGGCGTCAGTGAGCTGGCTTTGCCTTCAGGCCCGCCGCTCGCTTGCAGGCCCCGGGCCCTCACCTCAGCGGCCGCTTGGAGAGCGGGCACACCAAGAAGCGCAGCAGCGACGGCTCCAGCGGCTGCCCCGGCCCGGGGCCCTGTTCCTGCTCCTGCCCGCTCGCCCGGCGGCTCCCCGCCGCGCCCCGCAGCGCACCAACCACGCCGCGCCCGCAGCCGCGTAACATGGCGCCCCCCCGAGCCGCCGCTCCGCCTCCGGTGCCCGGCGGAGCCGTGCCGGGCTGCGCGCCGCCGCCGCCGCGCTGTGGTTCCGGGGCGGATCGCTACTCGGCCGCTCTCACCATGGCTGTCGCCGGGTTCGCAGGTGCGCTTCGACGGCGAGGAAGGACAAGGAGAAGGGCTGCGCTTGGAGCTCTTCACAGTCGCCGCCAAGGCCCTCTGCCATCCCCAGAGCGGTGTCTTCCGCCACTTCCCCTCCAGGCTGGTCTGGTTCCCCAGGCAGGTAAGCTTGCTCGCCTGCGCCTGAGCCGACGTGCTCGAAGAGAGAGAGAGGCGTAACTTCATCTGTTTTTTTTACGTTCCTCTTTTGACGAGGCGTCAAGCCACGATGACACCTTTCTGCTGGCGGGCACTCTGTTGGGAATGGCCATGTATAACCATTGCCAGACTCCCTTACCATTCCCCAGGGTTCTCTTCAAGAAGATGCGGGATGTCGAGCCGACCCTGGAGGACCTGGAGGAGCTGATACCAGCAGTTGGCAGGTATGGAATGTCAGTGTCCTAAGGTGTGAGATTCCTAAGACAGTTGTTAATTTTATGTGAAGCGGGTCTTCTAGCTAAGTGATTCACACAGCAATCTTGGAAGCAGTACTTTAATGTATTAACTAACAGTTTTCACTATGTTGTCAAGGTAGACCTTATGCATAAGCACAGTTTTAACCCATACTGCAGGCACATCAAATCTGCAGGCATGTGCCCACATGCTAGGTTTCCACTGCTGAGAAGTATTTCAGGCAGATATTGCAGAACAAGTTGCTGCTGCTACAACACTGAACTTGTAAGCCCCTGCAGCACAACATTCCACACAAGTGCTATAAACAGCCCATCACAACCTCTTCCCTGGAGCCCATGACTGTGTCAAAGGGCAAGAGCCCTCGGTAGACTAAAATGTCAGGTTTCCTGCAATGCTTTGAGAGACACTGCACTACAAAACAATTATTCTAGATCATCCCACTGATGGACAATGCAATTCCTTATTAAATGATCTTTGAAAGGAAAAAGCTGTGGTCTCAGCCCATTTGCCACTGGAATTGATCTCTGCATGAAATTCCTGAAGGGCATGGGGATAGTCTTGTTTTGCATCCTTCACTGTCAAGGCATTTCCCTCAGCATAAGAATACAAGTTCATTTTAGAGCTCTTTATGAAGGCTTGGTGTGAGTACAGATGTTCTATCCGCATGTGCATTTAAATACTGCTTGCCAAAGAATGCTTTCCAGCCAGTTTGACTGTAATAAGTTATCTTTATGTCCCTTCTCTATTCCTCACCCCCCCCCCCCTTTTTTTTTTTTTTTTTTCTTGAAAGGAATCTTAAGAATATTTTGAAGGAAGAATCTGAGCATAAGCTTGAAAGCCTACAGATGACCTTCGTGGTAAGACTCCATTGTGTCATTCAGATGTGCCATGCATGTAAAACAGGCAAAAAAGTATCCCATCACAAGTGATATAAAAACTTACCTATAAACTTCAACTAGCAAGGGTATAGAAAGAAAAAGTGCTAGATATAGCTCATATATGCTATCACATACACAGATATATAAATATTTAAATACAGATTTAGTGTCTGATGCTTTTCTTTTTTGTATAGCAAATGGAAGAAGGAGGTTCTGTGGTTGAGCTTAAAAAAAATGGTGCCAACATTCTTGTCACTAAGCATAACAGGTCAGTTTTATTTTTCTCATCCTGTGTCTGTTATGTGTTTATGAAATACCATTTATAGGAAATAGCTATTAGAAAACACTGAGCTTGAACAGTGTTGTTGGTCTCAGTGCAGCAGCAAAAGCCGTGTGCTTTCAGATTGTGCTGTATGTATGCCAGACATTAGCAGTTTGTGCAAGCAGTGGATAAGACAGGGATCCTGGGACATCTAGCAATGACTAAGTCATACCAGGCCTAGTAGGGAAATTCATAAACATATAAAGTATCAGTGAACAACATATTCAGGGATATTATAAACAACTTGATGTATCTTTTTAAAGTTCTTTTAACAGCAAAATATTTCTTCCTTAGTTACATATATGAAACATACCTTGTACATAACAGAAGAGGAATTTATCAATGAGGTGTTGCATCACCATTAACCTCAGCACAGAGTACAAAAAACAAGGCTATGGCTTAAGTTCATGTGACTATTCTCCATAAAGATTTTGTATTAGCAGTTGTATAATCAATGAATATACAGATATTATAATTAAGAAATATCCAGGAAATACTAGGCTAAGTAAGATTATTGTAACAGGAAGATAATAAATGGAAAATGCTTACTGATGTTGTAGGCTCACAATATTCTCCACAGAGAGTGATCTCCTGGAAGAGATCCTTCCTAGATCTCTTTAAGTGCAGGAAGTCTGCACTTAAATGGGTCTAGGAGAGGTGCAGCCAGGCTCCACCCCTTCTGGTAGCACAGGTGAATTACCTTCACCTGTGTTCCCATGGCTGACTCATTGCTTGCCTCAGGTGGTCAATCAGAGGTTCAGGCCGTGATTCAGCAGTTCCCATACAACAGTAGAGCAGGTGGTATAGAATAAAGAATAAGGAAGAAAGTTCTTTATATTTCTCTTTTTCAAAAATCACCTCTTGTGTTGCTTGTTTGAATCAAAATATCTTTACAGGAAGGAATTTGTTGACTTGTATGTGAATTACATGTTGAATGAATCAGTACGGAAGCCATTTGAAGACTTTATGCGAGGTTTTTCAAGAGGCTGCCCAGCTGAAAGCTGGAAGATGTTTCTCCCTGATGAGCTCATGATTTTTCTCCTGGGACACACAAATTATGACTGGCATCTGCTAAAGAAGGTATCAGTTACAAGCAGAGTGGCCTTTTGCTGTTATGCACAAACTGTTTGCTAAGCATAAACTCTTTCTGTCCTGTACTATTATTGGATGCATAAGTCCCAAATACAAAAATAGTAGCTCGGGGGAGTGTTGTTATCATTTGTATCGTTGTTCTGATCAACTTCTAAACTACACTAGGTACAAGAATATAGGGTAATAAAGGTCAGTCTTAAAAAAATGAATGAACAGGCAGATTCCAGGCATGAGGAGGATCTGAACACCTGTGAAGGGGTTATGAAATTTATCAGGTGCACTGTTGCTGCTTTCAATAAAAACAGAAATAGCAAGGCCAATTTTAATTTTTTCTTTTCAACAGAATGTGAAATACGTGCACTACAAAGAGTCACATCAAACCATCAAGAATTTTTGGTCTGTGTTTCACAAGCTCCCAGAAGAAAAAAAGAAAAAATTTCTTGGTAATATTTTGACATTCTGAACTTTCTTATAGCTCTCCCTCACAAGACAGATTGAGATGCTTGTGTATGAAAATACTGTACTTCCAAACCTCTTTTCAGTGTGCTTCCAGCCCCCTTCCCACATTTTCTAGTGTAAGCCACAGTGAATTGGCACAAAGAATAGCACAGTCACAGTTCTGACCTTTCTCACAGAATCACAGAATCACAAGGTTGCAAATGACCTGCAAGATCATTTAGTCCAACCACCCTCCCATTCCTATTCATTCTCATCTCCCTTGAGGCTTGCTTAAACACATCCCACGCTCCTGGACCTTGCAATTAGTTTATTCCTTTCTTTTGTAGAGATCAGTTGTTGGTCAGAGGGCTCAACTTTAATGCTGACATGAGCCGTTGAGCTGTCTCAGAGGATCACAGAAGCTAATTCATCCTTTTTAATTGGGGAAGGTCAAACCTTGCTTGGCTTTTCTCATTCACAAAGTCTGTATAAGTAAAAGTAAAAGGTTTATACTTAATATAAATCAGCAAAAGACTATTATATTCAGGTACAAATTCAGTAGTGCCAAATAATTAGCTAATGTAAATAGCTGTATGTTTATATTGACTTTCCTTCATGTTTTTCATCTTTCAATAGCATTTTCATTCATTCTTTCTTTCTTTCTTTTTTGTTTGCTTGAAATTTACTAATTTGCTTCTCTTTCCCCCTCCTTTGTTTAGCTTTTATATCAGGATCTGATCGAATCGTTCCTTTTGGACTAGAGTATTTTGTATTTTCTATTGAAGACCCTCTGTTTGAAGATCCAGATAATTTATATCCTTCTGCCCAGATCTGCAGCTACACTCTTTTTCTCCCCAAGTACAGCAGTAAAGAAATACTTGAAGAAAAATTACTCTCTGCCATAGAGTATAATGAAGGTTTTGGCTTGAGGTAGCTCTTGGTCAGAAGCATGTTAAAGCACAAACAAAACAAGTGGTTGTCTCACTTGTATTTTTCCTGATTTATTCTTGTGTAGTGATTTCTATTCTGCCTTATTTTTACTGCACTTTATAAAAACAATTGAGTGTGTGTATTCAACTGAGAATGTTTATTCATTATTAAATCCTTGCAAGAAGCAACTTGGTAACCAATTATATTTACATAGATGCTTATCCTGCACTTTAGTGGTCTTAGTTGATGAGCTTTCAACAGTAAAGTTTCTGTTATTTGTATATTACCAAACACACAATTAGCATATGCTAAGCAGTAATCACTGCAAGAGGGAGATAGAGTAACATTTTCATCTGTATTAGTTAAAGATTCTTTTGGAAAATAATCCAACTGTAAGGAAACATATTCAAACTTTGAATTGAGGAGCAGCCTGTACTTGCCTGAATATGGCCTTTGAGTTATCTGAGAGAAGTTCTAAGATGAGGACTTGATCATTCCTAGAGTTTGCCAGGACAAATCTGTATTTGTAATGGATGTTTTATTAGTCAGTGTGATAATATTTGTTGTGTTGATTTGCATCTTCTAGGGAGTTGGCTGGTAATTAATAAACCAGAATTTTAGGCCTGCAGAACGCTCTGACTACAGAATCTTGTGAACATGAGGCTTGTGAGGCTGCTGGAAGCTCACTGCCAAAACTGACACTAAGCAACAGCAGGCAGGATGTAAAGGCGGGAGGTTTATTTTTTTCTGTATGTTTTACTTTATGTAAAATATATGTATTTATTTAGAGAAAAATGGTTGTGATTTTTCAGCAGTCCTCTTGCATTTCTTATAGTCAGTGGACATACATGTGTAACGAAGGCTTTTACTGTGCTAAATTGATTGATTAAATTTCTACACTCGTGGCTGTGTGTTCCTCCATTATGTGACTGCCTATGTGTGACAGCATATCCATTTTCTATCCTTCATATGAGTGAGTCCCTCACAAGGGGAACCAAAGGTTGGTGTAAAAGTGTTTCAGACAGGTGCACTGCATACAGTGAACAAGTCAAGGTCTTTTACATTTCATACGGAAGGATCTTTATATGAATGTAGAAATGTGGAGCGAGAAGATGACAGTTTTCACATCCTCCTCTGCCTAGACTTTGTGTTGTACGTTACACACAATGCCCTGCTCCAGAGCCACTGCACCTTAGTGATGAATAAAATGTTCTACTCCCATGCTGCAAAAGGTTAGGGTCTGTCACTGTAAGCTTCTCCAGGAACACTCAGGGAACTAGCCTGTTGCCATCTGCCAGACGCACTGGTGTGTTTGTAGGTATGGGTATCACAGCAGTGCCCCTAGTTGAAGCTAAGGGCATTGATAAAACTCACAGTGCAAGATCAGATTGCACCCGCAAATATGTCATTTGAAGACAGGTGAGAAATGTACAGGGAATGCAGAGAAAATAATCTTCTTTTTTTTTTTTTTTTAATACTACTTCTCAGAGGACAGTTCAAGGACATTGCTCAGAGCTTTCATGTGACAGCCCCAGCAGCCTTTCCCTCCATACTGTCACAGCCTGTCTCAGAGAAAAACGTGCCTCCAGGCCTCTTTCTGCTTCTCTCAAAGGCCCAGAGGATTGAGCCTAGGTTCAGAAAAAGAAACCAGGAGCTAGGCTTTCTAAAGGGCTTGGCAGCCTCAGTCACTTGTCTCACCTCTGTAGCAGAGCTTTTAAAAACGTGCGTGCTGATAGACTGAAAGCCGTGTTTCATGTGCATCCACAGGGGAGCCTTTGCAATGAAACAAAGTACAAAGCCTGCTTAATGAAAATAGACTAAACAGCGTAGCAGTGATACCCTTTGTCACATATAAGGATATTTGAATTACAGGGATTCCTCCAGGAATACGTAATTTTCCCAAGGGTACATGTAAGTAAGGCGAAATACTCTATACCTCAGCAGGCAAAAAATACTACTGCGACATAGTGTGCATCAGTGAGACCAGTAAGGAAGATAAAGGGAGGCTACTTCTTCAAAATGCCAATTATATATAAAAACAGTAAACCCTTTTTGGCAGTGATTGTTGGGCTCAGTGCTTTATTTCTTTAGGAAAGGAACAGTTTCCTAGGAAAGACTTAGGTGTTTTTCATGAAATTCCAGCTCAGTATGAAGGACTTTGTTGCATATTAGGAAAGTTGCCATGTAGCAAGCAGCGTAGAAAAACTGCAGGCTCTCACCTCAGGTGCTAGAATGCATAGCTGAGTGGGGAAACGAGGTACACAGCAGTGGTGAGAGGGGCACAAGTGGCTCAGAGGATGCCAGCTGTCATCCCAGTGGCACAGAAGGGACACGTGCTCGTGCCCTGGGCAGCCTCTTCAAAAAGAAGTTCGTGTGGTCTGCTCGAGGTGTCTTTCTTTCCACATTATGTGAAAAAAGTCACCATCCCACCCTAGCTGATGCTACCACACCATGACAGCTGACAGTTGTCACAGCTTAGCCTGCTGCTGCTCTTTAGCAGCCTACTTCTGCCTGCTTCATTCTGTCTTTCATTTATTCAATTATTTTTAATGCTTTTCTAAGCCTCTGTTATGGCGTGGAAATCCAGAGTGATCTTCTGTCCTCTGCAAGTCCGTAAAAGATGTATCCTGTTCAGATTTCGAAACAACCCATCAGAGATTAAATGATAATAGGTTTATTTAGAGCCTGAAGGAATTTCCTTATGATGCAACAGCACATGGGAGATTAAATCCCAGAGTACTTTTCAAGGCTATTTTTAATTTGTCCTCAAATAAGCCCTGCTTTTATTAAAGACTTTCCAAAGGAGTAGAATAGAGCACTGTCGTTTTCTGAAATGACTTTGAGCACTGAGCTGCATCTACATTTTCTCAAGCAGTGCTTATTATAAAATATGTGAAGAAATACAAGAAATACAAAGAAATACAGTGGGACTTTTTAAGACTGCTCTTCTGATCCAAAAGTCACCTGTAGAGATGTGCAGGAACTCTGCAAAGCAGCAGGTGGAGAGCGGATGTGGGGCGACCAGGCTGCACCACACAGAAAAGCCACTTCCATGGCTGGCAGCCAGACCCCACCTTGGCTGCTGGCACCGGCATAGGCAGCTATCCCTGGCTGATCCCTTTCAGCAGAAGGCTGCCAGTGACACCTAAAAAAGGGCTCTGGTGGAAAATACCTACCAGAAGAGGGTTGACAGGGCAGCTGAAAGCTGCCAAGTCGTATGCCACCACTGACACCCACGCAGCTCTTGACACTGGGCAGCTGCTTACTTGCTTGGGACAGGAGATAGATGATTGATAAATTAAGATGAGGTGTAGATCTGGGCATCTCTGGATATTTTCTGACCTGCTGTCTGGATAAATTCAGCTTCGCGTTGAAGGAGCTTCTTTTTCTCAGCAGGATGATCTCAGCCATTAAGGAAAGGGCGAGCTTCCTTTGACCTCTTGGGGCAGCCATTACCAGCAGTGGAGCATAGGCCTGAGCGCTGGCTGCCCGATTCCACCTGGAAAACCAGGGACGGGGAAGTCCGTGGCGCTGCCAAATGGAGCCGTCACAAGGGGCTGCCCGCGGGAGCAGAGGAGCCTGCAGAGGGAGCCGCGCGCAACGAAGCGCGCGGAAGCCCCCAGTTCACTTGGGCGGGTTTGCCGTTTTACACCGTTACGGAGGACGGGCCTTGAGAGCTCTGCACGGACTCGAAACGCGCGCAGTTAGCGGTGGGTTTCAGCAACAGATTCCTCTGCCGACGCGTCCGCACGGCGCGCTCACCAGCCCGCCGTCACGTCGGCACACCGCGCCGCTGCGGCCCTCGCGGTGAGGGAAGGGCCCGGCAGCCGCAGGGAGCCGCCCGCCGCCCCGCCCGGCGCCGGCCATTGGCCGCGAGCAGCCATTACTCCCGCGGGCGGCGGTGGGGGGCCGGACTTGATCGTCGCCGCGGCGGCAGCGGCAGGTGAATTGGGGGGCCGGGGGTGATCGGGTGGTATGGATGTTGCGGAGGAGCCCCTTGCGGAGGGCGCGAGCGCGGAGTGCCCCAGCGGGCGCCCTGCGTCCCCGCGGGCGCGCCGCGAGGGCTGGGAGGCGGGCGGAGGGGCTGACGGCTGGGGCCGGCTTCCTGCGTGGGGCAGCGAGAAGTGCGCAGCTCCCGGGTGCGATCGTTCCCCGTCGCTCCTCGCGTTCCTCTGCGCTGCTGCGGGCGGCTGGCCGGCCGAAGCTGGAAGGGAAAGGGGCTCGAGCGGCGATAAATCCCGTCGCTGTGCGGCCGCGATGGTACAGGAGCGCTGCCGGCTGAGTTGTCTGCCTTGGCCAGAATGGGAAACGAAGCGTGAAGCTTCATTTGAAGCTTTGTGTTCCAGGACGCTGCCCTTCCGCGAGCGTATGGTTTATTGATTTGTCTTTGCGTTTGTAGGGGGAAAAACATCCACACAAGCGTTAAAGCAGTCGTGGTTTTAGAAATGTGCTGTGTCTTTGGAATAACTAAATTAAATACATGGCACATCAGGCCTTTGGAAAACATCTGGGTGTGCCCGTGCACTCAGACGGAAAGTGGCTGTGTTGGCTTCTGCTCCCGAGTGAAGAGGTGCTCCTTCAAGCCGTGTCTTAGCACGAGGAAAGACCTGCCCCTGGCTCCCCCTGCTCGGTGCAGCAGCTTCTCATGTGGAAAATGAACACAAGCAATTAATTTAATTAAGGTATTTTTAGCATTTTAAATGAAATTAGCAGCTGGAAAGACGACTGGGACCTGTGGGGAGCAGACTGTTCAGAAACTCTTCTAGCGAGGTATCCTAAATTACAATTTAGCCCATGATGTACGGAAATCACTGTAGTGGTAGAGTGGTACAATCAGCAGCATCCCCTTACAGGGAGTGTGAGCTTCAGGGTGGCTGCTCTTAATTGTGAAGCTGCTTTTATCTTTTGTAAGGTGATAACTCCTCAGGCTGAGAGAGGTGGCAGCCTTTTTTGAGGCAGATTATGAAGTTCTCTATAAATATAGCTATTGTGTCATTTAAAACATAAGCATGTGCATTACTTCAGTGTTACTGCGTCCCTATTCTTGGTATCAGGAGTAGCCAGTGGTGACTTCCGTTGGGCTGATGTGCCAAGGGCATGTGAGCACAGCCATTGGCTTACGTTGAGCACTGCAACCTCCTGCTTTATAAACTGGGGGTGCTTTAGAGCTGCTCAGTGACCGTCCTGAAATGTGGATGACTTGAGGTGTACTTGAAAAGAACAGAGGCTGCTAGAAGTAAATAGGTTACAATGCATGCTTTGGAGCACCTAGTAAGAGACCTTAGCAAGCAGTTTGTGAGAGAAGATGTCATTTTCCAGCTGTAGAGGTTCCATCTTCTGTCTCTCTTGGCTCGGCCCTGCCTTGGTGGAGGTGAGTGCACCTGGTGACAGGACACAGCCATGGGTGAGGGCAGCTGGTAGGAGACGAGCACCCCTTGCTTAGGGCTCAGATTATGGAAGGCTTTATGGCTAATGCAGCTTGAATTAGCACCAGGCTTTGGGAGCTGCATGCGTGTATTTCCTGTCTGAGTGGGGAAATCTCCTTTTGCTGTGGAATCTGTGGTGATGCCTCAGAGGTTACCTGTGGTGTTAGATCCTGTGCTGACGTAGTGAGTGCTGCAGCAGTAAATTGCCTTAGTTTAAAACTTGCCATGGTGAGTCATGAGGCTTGATGTCTAGGATATTTCTTTTTCTCTGCTCTTTTTTCTTTCTGCTTACAAAATAGGGAAGGGTTATAATCAGTTCCTATTTCAAGCAGAGGAATTCTCCATGTCTTCTTAATGCAACGTGTTTAAAAATGGTCCAAGCATAATGAGGATGGGAGTACAAGGAAGTGTCAATAAAATCTTTCAGATGCTCATTCTGGAATGAGGAAACGAGGGCTGATTGCCTAGCTCTTACATGTTGGAAAGCTGTTGTCATTACTAAGCTTAGACTGTGCAGTGAGATGGTCCTCTTGCCTATTGCTGTTTCTTTTTCCCTTCCTATATTGCTGCATTCTCTGAAATCTGAGTTTCACTGAACACAGCCCAAAAGGCAGTGACATGAGAGCTTTATCTGTTGCTGTCAGAAGCTGTGCTACCACTGTTCTGCTCTGTGTGAACTGCTTTTTATTGGAAAATCTTGCTGTAGCATAGGTGTGTGTGCATGTGAACATACACATTTAGGTTGGAGGAATGTGTTACGTTGTTCAAACTGCTTCTTAATCTGAGTTTATCAGAAATGATACAGTCCTGCTGTACTAAGAACAGAACTGCTTGGGTCTGCAGGATTTCAGGGCACTCCCATTGCCCTAGAGATGGAGGTGACCAGTGCTTGAAGGTGCTGACTCAGTAACTAACTGAGCTGTCCTGGCTCCACTTTGTGCAATGGCAGAAATGCCTTCTTGTTGTCAGTCCCCAGGCAAGATAGTTGTACTGGCTAAGCTTTTTTTAATTGTTTGCCCCTCCTGCTCAGATCAGCTCATCGGTGTAGGATTACTTGTTGGGTATTTGCTTCATCCATGCCTTTTTCCCTGTTTCTCTTCCCAGGAGAATACATGACTTGCTGAAAAGAGAGAAAATGCTATGCTGGGGTTATTCATCTTTTGGACAACCTGGAATAGGCAGCAGCCTCCAGGTCATCATTCCCGAACCACAGGTGTATGGATTCATTAACGACAGAAATGTTAAGGAGGTGGCATGTGGAGGAAACCACTCGGTGTTCCTGCTGGAAGATGGGGAAGTGTACACCTGTGGTTTGAACACCAAAGGCCAGCTGGGGCACGAGAGTGAAGGAAGCAAGCCAGGTAAGTGTGTCACTTGTGTGTGCTTTCTAAGTGGCTGAGGCTGGCAGACTGAGAAAGTGACGGAAGCTGCTTTGTGCTGAGCGCCATGCAGTTGGAGCAGCTGACTGAGCTGAAGGTTGTGTCTCACCCGGTGATGCTGGACTGTATCTGCTGCCTCTGCAAAGCGACAGCTGAGCAGCATGGGTGGGGAGACAAGTCTGCTCACTTTGTGTGGAAAATGTATCAAGAGGCAGAGTGGCAATGGCCTGGAGGTTTGTTACTTGACATTAGGGTGCCCTATTGTAACGGGGAAGAGAGGGCTGTGAGCCCCAAGTGTCTTCTGCTTTCTTTGCAGTTGGGCTGTGTCCTTACACCAAGAGCAAACAGTAGTTTGACGGTGTATTTTTGTTTTTGTAAATCCTGAAGCTGTTCTTATGGACTACTTTTTTTTTTAATGTTGGCCTTGTTATTTGCTTTTTGTTATCTTGTTTTGGCATGTAGCAAAAACAGAGGTATCTCTGTTTCATAATAAAAATCCTCCCATGAGTAATTAGACTTGAGTAATCTTTACTCCTACTGTTGGCTACCCTCTGTAGGCTTGGTGCTTCTGTAGCCCACCTTGTTATTTTGTGACTAATACAGGAGATGTACTAAATGAAGAGCAATAGCTATTTTATGTACTTGCAGATCTGACGTGACTGATTCCAGTGTCCTTTTTTGGGGTGTCTTTTGTCCTTTTCTTTCAATCATGAGGAAGTAGATGTTGAATTAGAGGAGACTGCAGGATTAGAGGAGCTGACCTAGACTTTTTGTCTTCTTGCTTTTCCTGCAGTGCAGACAACTAAAGAGATTGGGATGTGACACCAACTCCTACTTTATCCTACGTGTTCCATTCATTCTGAGAGTTCCTGCAGTGCTGGTTTTTGAGGAGCCTGTGACCATGCATGTGAAAATGTGTGCTTCTCCCTCAGCACAGCACTGCAGGCTGCATCTGTGCCTAGATGCATCTGCTGCCTAGGGCAGGTGGGAGGCATGTGCTATAAAGGAATAGCTTCCCTTTTTAGCTCCTGGTGAACCGCCACAGCAGCTTCATTAGTAACAACGAACTGGAGGAGGGTCCCATCCCACACATGACTTGTGGGGGTCCGCTTTGGCTTGTGGCATCGGGAACTGATTTTTTCAGTTCTATGCAAATAGGAACAAGAAGAATGCATATCTCACCTTTCAGTTTTCCCTTCCCTATAAAGAATAAAGTCAGTCTCTGCTTCTGTATAGGAAGATATGCCAAAGATCATGTTTCTTACTCTATTAGTTGCATGGAGAGGTATGCGTGGGACAGAGGGCCCTGAGCTGTTGAAGGTGATGGAAAGTTTCTAGTGTGCCTCTAAGGAAGGGAAATGGGGAGATGTATGGAATGGGAATCTTGCTGCTGCTTTTTTCTGACCTTTGCAGTGTGAACCTGAGGCTCTGCCTAGTCAAGGGAGGCAGTTGGAAGTGGGCTTTGTCTGCTCCCTGTGACACAAGACCAACTGTCCCCTATGGGCAGCCTCTGCAGAGCCCTTTCAGTTGTTTCAAGAGCTCCTCTTAGAGCAGTCTTTTAGCACCTTTTGAGATGGAAGACTTCTTAATTAAAAAGCTGTGTTTATTATCACATTTGCTGAGCTTGAGGATGTAGTGCTGAGATAGAATAGCAACTGGTTAGGTGATTTTTTTTTTTTCTTTCTTTTTTTGGTACCTCTACTGCAAGAAACAAATTACTGAATTGAGTGCACTCCACTGAATGAGTCAGTATAGTCTTCTCTTCTGGAAGTGCGTTTCACCTGCTTTTACTTTTTAAGGGAAGCAGTTCAGAGATTTTCCTGGTTAGGAGTCAACTGTTGTGAGAAACCAGTCTGAGTTAGTATTAATTTCCCGAGAACCATCAAGTGTTAAAGTGCATTAAATTGATTGTGTGGATTCAGATATTGTGGGGTGGCATTGCCTCAGTTGATGTGAAATCTGTCTGCTCACAGATGAAGCAGCAACAAATTTTAAGTCAAATTTCAGTAGATCCAAGTCACCTGGATTGCTCTGAACACAGTGACTTTCCAAATGTAAATGCACATGAACTTCAGCATGGGGCTAAAGTGATCAGAAGCATTGATGCTCACTGTGATATGTTTAATAGTAAACTGTGTAATAACTAATAATTCAGATGTGTGACCTGTTTGTAAAGACTGCCTGTATGGATCTTCCTTTTTTCACCTCTTCCTGGCTGGGAGGAGGCCATGTGGGAGGCCTGAGTTGCTCCAGAGCAGGAGCAGAAGTGGCAGAGTTTGTGTTTGCTGGAACAAACAATGGAAGGGAATAAATCCAGCTTTTCCAGATCTCTCTGGATTGGCAGCATTGATATATTAACCACTCATTCCAATTTTGTGTTGTTTTCCTTTCTCTGCACAAAGTTTGAAACAAGAGCCAGAAAATATCACAAAACAGACTTTTCACAAAAGATATGAGACAGTTCTGTTCCCATCTGGGCACAGAGCTGAGGCTCAGCATGTATCTAACTTCCAGAAATCAAATACTTTAGACACTTCTGGCTGCTAGCTGAAAACAGATGTTCTTGCAGCAGAGCTCTGAAGAAATGCTTACTCTTAACACCTGACCTGCCTTTTAAGCAGCTGACTGCCTATGTAAGCTCCTGAAGAAGGAATGGAGATATGAGCATCTGTACTTTTCCCAGAATGCCCTTCAAATCTTACATATAATCATTCTGCATTTCTCCAGCATAACATCGCTGCACATTCCTGATCTTTCTTCTGCTCTGTGAACTGCGCACTTCTTTGGGCTTTGACAATGCCTGACGTGCATGGTACCCTCTGTTAAGTGACTAAACAGCATGTCCTTGATGGAGAAGCACAAAATATTCCATGTTTCCCAAGGTTTGTGGTAATGTGTTGTACTTGAGCATTCCAGTGGGTCACTTGTACAGGCCCCACATGAGCATCATACTCCTATTCCTTTAAACATCCAAAAGGCCAGTTTATCTTCTGAAGAAAACAAAAAAAGTGAAGTATAGACAGGAATCACAATCTACTTTTGCTCTACATCCAGCAGCAAGCTGAGAGAACAGTTTTTCAGCTAACGCCTTCCATTTTTATTTCTGAAGTACTGTTGCTAAAGCATATGTTTTCAGGGAAAGCTTTCTTCAAAAGCTGTCTGATAAATTTATGAATTGGGGTTAGACTTCATCATGTACTCTCTAACCGTATTTTTTATTATCCCAAAAGATGATGTGTTCAAATGACATTAAGCTGCTGTACTTCTGAAAATTACTAAGCCTAATAATAAATAAAAATGCTTTTGTAAATGTTAAATAGGACTGTTAATTTCCTCCTTTTACCTATCAGCAGACTTCTTCTCAGGCAGTGCTTGTGCAATAGATTGTAATGTCATTGAAAGCAAGGACAAATGTGGTGTATGGAGTCTGCACTGTGCTGGTGTGACTTTACTCTGTCCCTGTGCAAATCACTGCAGGATGGAATTAAGCAGGAACTAAGCAAGGAACACACCAGGTGCTTTTGAAAATTCCACCCTCCTCAGTCAGCCTAGGGCTTCCAAGTGCACTTGGAAGAACTAACCTCCCTACTAGAAGAAAATACGAAATGCTCCTGTGAAGGCAAAATATGTCCTGCTGTGCAAGACTGCTCCAATAACATGAAAAGATAGGGGAAATAGCACCTATCCAGTTGCAAAAAGAGGCCTGCAGGATTGAGCACAGCAAGTGGATAAGAGTCAGGTCCTATCTTACCTCCTTTCTACCTCCTAGGGCAGTGGCTGAGCCCCAAGAATAGGCTGTACTGGGTTGTTGAGCCCTCAGTGTGTGTACTGCATGTCTGCATTAGGGCTGCAGGAAGGAGGTGGTGCTGCGTTTCGGGGAAAACTGCAGGGAAGAAATAAACAGGTCTCTCTTCATAGCATTGGGAGATTGGAGTGCTGCTTCCTAAGTGGAGATGCCCATTTTATGTTGGTTCCCTTTTTTTTTTGCCTTAATAAGGTTTGCTCAGGAATTGTCACGATTGCAGTAACCTCTGTGTGGGCATTGAGTTACAGTGAAGGGCTTGTTCTTCCTTCTCCCTGACCTGCTGTCCTTGCTTACTGCCATTGACACTTGCCACTGTTCCTACTCATGTGGAACTCGTTCCTTTGAAATTAATCTGCCCTAGTTTGTCCTTTGCTGTCTTTTCCCCCCATTTTTATTCAGTTAGTCAGCTGTATATTTACATTCCTTCTCTCTAACCAAATGATCAGCCTTACAAACACCAGTGCTGCTGTTGTCAGTCCCTCTGATGGGACTGCTGCTCCAGTTCCTGATATGAGTGTAGTAGTAACAGACCCATGCATAGGAACTGAGAAAGGCCAGATGTCCTACGAGTTTCTCATTAGGAATTTTGGTTCTGATTAAAAATAAAGTCCAGATCTGCTCCTTTCCCTCAGTTCACAAGAGGATGACCTCAATATTTGCAGTTGGACTTTTAAAGCCCAGTGTCCATAATGGATTTGGTAAACTGCTGTTGACAGAAGTGATGAGAAGTTGCATGCTGATGTAAATATTAGCTTGCTCCCTATTTCAGAGCTTTTGATCCATAGCAAGACAAAATGGGTTACCATGCACAGGTGAGAACAGCAGGCAAAAGAAGAGGGCAGTTCTACTCTACAGCCTAGACACAGAGCCAGGAGCTCTATGTGCAGAAGCATCTCTGCGATGTGCTGCTAGGGACAGGGCAATCAGAGGGATCTGCTCTTGTTCTGTGCAGGTGCAGAGCTGGATTCCTCCCACACTCTTACACGCTGAGACTTGTGCTGTCAGCATGGTAATTCCAGCTGTCCATGTGTTGCATGTGTCATGCACCTAACCCTAGCGAAGGCTCTCTGTCATCACCCATGTGTATTCCTGAAGCTTTTCTCCAGGCCTTCCTCCGAGCCATTTTTTTTAATTACTGCTGACAAACAGCACCAGAGATGCGTGAATGGAGCCACAG